TACAAAGTCCTCCATTGTGTGTCTTGGTTTGAAAGGTACTTATTATATACAAGATTTAATCAATTTTAAATGATCCTTTGAAGAGTTCACTTTCAAAATAAGTGGTACATGTATAACATCATTCCCTCAGAACTGGCAAGATACATTATCAAATATCACAAAACATGTTCTGCAGTTTACAAATTGGGCATGTGAAAACTTTAAAATTATTGTCAACAATACAGGAATAGCATAATCATGCTGAAAGGGAAAGGGGGTGTTAAAGAGTAAAGGTGCTCATTCATCTTGTTTCTAATCTCTGCATGAAAGTATTTTATCGCCTAAAAAATTAATAAATAAGAAATAAAACTCAAATTTATAAACAAATAAATAAAAAGGGGGGAGGGGGAATCTAAATAAAACGTATTTTCTACATAATTTTCTTACATAAGTCCAGGTAGTAGTTCTTTCTTGCCAGCTGGATATTAATAATGGAATCTGAGACCCAAAGCAATATACTAGTAACTTGGAAAGATATAAATTCAGGAGGGGGGGGGGGGGGCGTTAGGCCCAATTAATTTGAAGGGAGACCAGAATTATTTTAATGCAGGATAGTTCTACAGTGGGTTGGCAATGAGAGAGAGAGTGATGTTCACGATGGATGGGTTGCTGAGGGTTTTGAGTAGGCTAGGTGTCCATGGTGGGTGGTTAAATTGAAGTTGCCTACCCCCACCAGGTGGCGGTGGGCACCTACGGTGCCCATGTGGCGAAATCGTCACCTTCAATTTAACCATTGAACTGTTGATTTTGTTGACTTTTTGTGGTTGATGTTGATATATGTGATGGTTGATGTTGATATATGTGATGTTGACTTTGAAAATTATATCTTATACAATTTAAAGCTAAGGCAAAATAATATAATTATAAAAGATAATTTGTGTTGAAATGTGTCCGTAGCACGAATGAGGTCAACCCAGCGTGCTACTTTTCCCGTCAGGGAGGGCACAACTTATGTGATGTTGGGGGTATGCCATTTTGCCGGCTGCCCCACTGTTGTGTAGACCACTGTGGACAATACCTGCCAACTCGAATAAAACATTAAACTTAAATACGTAGCATTTGTTTATTATATACATAGGTCTTTGATAATACCGCATATTTGAGTTCATCTCACAATATGCGCCGTTATCAAAGCTCTATCCTTTTATTATATGTCATCATTCATCTCCTTTTTGTGGAAAAACTAATAAATGTGATAAGCCGGAATTTATTTATCCATCCATACAGTGTCGGTACTTAGGCACTAGGTTTACGGGTTATCTCCCCTTTTCTATCCATCAATGAAAGTGAAAGGTGGGTGATGAAAGTATCCGATTTATGTTTTTGTATTATGAAATACCCTCCCACCTCAACCCTTGAGCTAGGTGTTAAGTATATACCCTTTCTCCTTTTGTTTGTTTAAATAATTTTTCATTGTTTTACATGGTTTGGCTATACCAAATTTATTAGAGTTATGCAAATGTTATTGAGAATCTTTTTCTGCTGTGGGTTTTTGTTTTTGTCTTTTCAGATATAAGGGATTTCGTTGAAGGAGACTAACGATGCTGATCTGAATTGCCTGCTATTTCCGTATTCTGGGACCTTTGGAATGATCTCTGGCCGAATACCATGCATGACAAGGGTCAACTTGGCAAATTATCCATTCGAGGAGTTCGGGGAAAGACAGTAAACTATACTTCACAGTGGTCGTATTGGCGAAATCGTCACCTTCAATTTAACCATTGAACTGTTGATTTTGTTGACTTTTTGTGGTTGATGTTGATATATGTGATGGTTGATGTTGATATATGTGATGTTGACTTTGAAAATTATATCTTATACAATTTAAAGCTAAGGCAAAATAATATAATTATAAAAGATAATTTGTGTTGAAATGTGTCCGTAGCACGAATGAGGTCAACCCAGCGTGCTACTTTTCCCGTCAGGGAGGGCACAACTTATGTGATGTTGGGGGTATGCCATTTTGCCGGCTGCCCCACTGTTGTGTAGACCACTGTGGACAATACCTGCCAACTCGAATAAAACATTAAACTTAAATACGTAGCATTTGTTTATTATATACATAGGTCTTTGATAATACTGGTATCCTTTTTTGAAATAAGATCTTACAATCGACAGACAGATTTGTCATTGGTTTTATTGTCAGATTATGTGGTAAAAATGTTACGGTTGCATATTACATCGGCTTCTTATTAATTATTTTATGTATTACATAAAATATATGACACTTTTTCCATTTTCTCTGTAAAAACAAGAAAAACAATCCTGAACTTTTATATTTGTCTTTTATTAATGAAATCACATGTTAAAGGAGAAACGATTTAAACATATTTTAAATGAAATTCTGATGTGACATAGCACTTTATAACCAGGAAGAAAATTAAGACAGAAGAATGCAATAATTTATCTGTGAATGAAATTAGATCGTTGTTTATCTTTCTGAAAAAATGTCGTTCATGTAATGGTTGACCTAATTCTATTAATTTCACATTCATATCGATAACATCCTCCACAACTGTATTTTGTCTTTGTTACTTCAAACAAGAAGCCCCGCTTGATATACACCAGATGAAGTCCTGATGATGTTTATACAGGAATAAAGCACTACAGCTGCCCCTTAAACTAAATATGATCGCCCGCATCTTCAGTTATATTCATTCAAGTTTCACTACCGGGCAATTAATATCTCATTAAATAAAATTCAATCTGGGTTTTATCAAAAAAGCAGGATAGATATATGCATGCTTGTTCCAGAGATATAAAATTAATCACTGTATTTAATAATGTAAACACGAATTCTTGTCAGTGAAATTGCTAAGTACAGTTACCGAATCCCTAGAATCATTTTTAAAAAAATCTGGAAATTAAAATACCACCAGTTTGCACGTTTTGCCTGATATTTTTTTTTTAATCATCTCGAAATTTTTATTCGTGAAAGTACGTAGAAACATTGTCATTTTCTTACGCTTTAAACACATGCTAAAAAGTATAGAAAATAACACTTTTTAAAATTTTACACATACAAAAAAAAAAAAAAAAAAAAACATATTAAAAAAAGTAAAGTGAAGTCAAATTTCCATTTTCATATGCTGCTACAATTCATTTACAGTATAACATTGGACTGGAAATTAATATTTATTCAAGTTTTGGAAATAAATAACAAATTGTTTCATATAAATTTTCAGTTATACAAGGCAAATTTCGTGTCAACAAATACAAACGAGAAATAGACAACAGCTAGCAGTGGAGGAAAATCGGGCAGTACGAGTTAATATACTGATACGGATTTTCTTTATTACAAAGATTCATAATTCCTGTTTAAAGTTGTTCGGGTGTCTGACAGTTGTCACGCAAATGGGTGAATCCCAAAATAAGGAAAATCAAAAATCGTGGTCACATAATCTGGACACCTGGTCTGGGACAGTCTCACAATTTTCTGATTCTTAAGTAAAATAAAAAGACCTCTAGTAGAATATTTCTGTGAAATAACAAAACACGATTTTAAGTACAAGTAAAGGCAGTGACATATGGAAGGTCAGTTCTGATGATGTTGTCTCGATTAAATTGTTCTAAAAAGTATACAAAGTTTGATGATAAAACGTTGAACAATATCATAAAAATATTACAATTTCTGTACAACAAATTCATTACCTCTTTGAATGATGTGCATAAAAAATTGGTAAAAATTAAATTTAAGCATATATTTAACAGTGGAGTGTTAAGTAAAATTCATAACAATTCAGTATAACATACATATAAGTGAATACCGGCTTATCATATCATTAAGTACAATAATTACTGGTATACAGTACACGTCAAAAGTCACAACAGAATTATCACAACAATCAAGCGCATTCGTGAGAAAGGACACAATACAGTTAAATTATCGACAATTTAATGCAAAAACATAGTGTATCACCAGTTCTCGTATACATGTGATAATACCATCAGTTCTATCAAAACACTTTATATACATGTGTTAATACCATCAGTTCTATCAAAACACTTTATATACATGTGAATATATCCTAGCAGCATTTTTACAGCAAAACGAAGTGGTTTTAAAACTACCATGATATACCTTATTAATACGTATTATTTGTTCTTCACCATTTTCAAATCTCTTAACTATACAGACCTACATGCACAGTTAGCATTATAGATCTAAATCCATGCACATGCATATCAACTAGTATTATTTAAAGCATTCAATAACATAAATTTATAAATTAAATCATCCAAAATAAGAAAAATTAAATTAAAATCAGCTTAATTACCAGATGCATAGATGAAAGAAAATTACGTCGTCATCACATCTTATCACTAAAACCCAAAAAATAAAAATCAACAGGAAAATCTATAAGTACAACCCTTCGATGAAATACTTCTTTAATGATTTATAATATTTTGGTGCATGTACACGTTCTTTCTATCTGGATCATGCTTTGACTTATCTTTCTACCCCTACTACTAAACATCAGAAGAGAACTGTCTACAAATTATGCCAAATATTTAAAGCTTATAAAACACCTGTACCTACATGTTTAAGTAATAATGATCGGATATAATATATTTCAGTATTTTTATTTGGGTGTGTGCATTGTTTTTCGCAAATCTTTTTCTGGTCTTGTCTGCAGATCTCATAAAAACGAAGCAGCATATATATCTACACAAAAAATTATGTGTATTAGCTAGCTGATGGATAAAACTGAAATAAACTCCTTTACTGACTAATTTTCTCAGCATCATACCAAACCACTCAGATAAAATCTGACAAATTTCTCATAGCTAATTCAGGGAAACGGGAAGTTATTAATACATATCAGGGATAACATAAATAGTTCACCTTTCCTTGATATATATATGCATTCTATCAAATTTAGATTCTGTATCAACTGTAAAAACACAAAAAAGTTAGAAAAATATACGAGTTAAGAGCAAAAATATATTGTTTTGTTTTCTATTTACAATGTTCCATCAATCAAAATTCAAAAAATCACATACAAAACATACATGTAATTAGTCTTAAGATCCTATTTTTCCTCGTTGCTAATGTGACTATACATATATGATGAGAAACAATTCTTATTTCTACTTGAGCACACTAAAAAAGAAACTTTTAAATTCAGTATGAAGAAAAATAGTTGATTGTGGAAACACAAATTTTGTTGAAACCTTGTCAATAATGCGTACATGTAATCTGCACACTACCGATAATTAGGTATAAGACAAATGCATGCATCAATTTTGATATGAAAATAAATAAAAAGGTATCTTAAATCCAAAATAAATCGACTTCATATATATGTTTTTTAGATTAAGATGGGTAATTTGATTATGTTTCAGTATTTCAGACATCCAATTCGTTGTATCTCACTGCACGAAGCACCTCGGCTGATGACGTCACGCAGGATACTCGTTTCCGGCAGATCTCGCGAGAGGGGGATGGGCCAATGCCCTTCAGTGATTGTCAGCTCTTACTGGAATCCAGAGTGGCACCCTCTAGCCAGTAAGTTATCATCATTCCTTTACCCTAAAAATTTCAGTCGTAATATATTGATCATGAAACGGGAGAAAACTCGTCATATTTTCTTCTATTTTTTGAGACTGTTCGAGAGTGCATTTTCTTCTATCGTTTTTCACCAAAGTGAAAATATCTCTTTAATCTACTAACTTCTTCTAAATGACAATAATACAAAAAAAAGTTCCCGACAATGTTGAAAAAACCATACTAATACCTTTATTGGAATTTCTCCACGACAATTCACATCATACATTCCAAACTGATCCAAGAGCTGTTTCGAGGAATCAGATATTTGGATTTTTCCAGCTATGAAAAATAATGGCTAAATTTTCTATTTCTCTCAAGGAATATTGTCCTAAACTATATTGTGTAATTATTGAATTATAAGTTTATTACATCGTTAATCTACTATTGAAACACGTAAATTGTAGGAATAGAATGAGTTTGATAATACGTACATGTATACTTGCGTTTAACCTTTACATTCTTCTTTGATTGATATAATTCAAATTGTGACAAAAATTATATTTTCTCTCATTTTAATTTGGATCTTGATTATTTGCTACAATTTTTAAACAACTTTTGTTTAGCTAGAATAGAGCTAAAATTAACTGTTGAAATAAACAGAACAATGAAAATGATGTTATATAAACCCCACCAAAAGATGTGGACTCCATTCTTGAGGCAGTGTTAACGGTATCCCCAAACAAACAATACCTTGGCATTGCAATACCGACAACCCCAGCCACGACAGGCCCTAGAATAAAACAAAACATGTTTATAATATGTAAGTTGTATTTCTAATTTATTATGTTAAAGAGAAGCGATTGAAATTATATAGATTTCAATTCTATCTGAGAGATTATACGCAATTTCAGAAAATGGTATTTACCTCATACCGTATAAATGGAAATTTTAGCGAGACGCAAATTTAGCGATTTCTCCTTAAAAAATGGTAATTTATTTTTAGCGAGAAGTAACTTTAGCGATTTTAAAATGCTTACTAAAGCAGCTATTACAAATAAAATGCAATTAATTTTTAGCGATATTCAATTTTAGCGATCTCGGCACCCTCGCTAATAATGCCAAAATTAAATCCTCGTTAAAAATTCTACTTATACGGGGGTACCTTAATCCGTAGCATTAATCTCAAAACAAAACAAGAGGCCCATGGGTAACGACCTTACCTGATTCACTTTGAACTTACGGTTTAGCTCCATCATATCACCAGGTGTAATGGATTATTATTTACTCCTAATCATTTGAATTAATTTGAATACCCTTAATCTTAAGATACTTTGAGGCAAGTTTCGTTGAAATTGGCTCAAGGAATCTTGAGAAGAAAATCGTAATTGTTAAGTAAACTGACGGACAGATGACACGGGGCAAAGTGTGATCCGAAAAGCTTACTTGAGTCTTAAGTTCAGGTTAGCTATAAACAAAATAAAACATTGGTTCACGAAACATTCAACTATGAGCCACATAATTCATCAAACCAATGTTATCCAAGGACTCTGATATAATTTCTATATATGCGTTATCGTAATTTTGTCGGCAATAAATAAATTTTAGAATACTACGGACCTAATTTCATCATTAGGAACACTATAAAGAAGTAACTTGTTTTAATAAACATACAACTCACAGTAAATACCCATGCCGTATAATGACTTCCCCTGTAAAGTTTCTCTTAATTGACGTATATTGCTTCCATACGTCAAATCCTTCATTTAATGAAAGGGCTATTAAGCCACTGAAGGGAATTAAAGATGTACCGTGTTAAGAATGCAAATATTTTCTTGTAGTATATAGTGCAGGTACTAGTATATTATCATTAGCAATTATCTACCTGCATAGAAGATAATTCATTTCCCCAAATGTTAACAATCAAATACGTCAAAGGAGGTTGAGGATTGTTTTTTGTTTATTTTTTACAATAACTCCACAGTGAAATGGAAAAATCGTAAACTACTATCTTAGCAAACTACCATCAATCCATACCACCTACCTCCGCTGCATACTTCGGATTTTCTGGCCCGAAAAGATAACAAATGAAGACCTGATGCAAACAAGAGGACAAGGGTACCATCATTACCAAACGCCGATGAAGATGGATTGGACGTTCTCCGAAAAGACCCTCAGTCAACAACTAGAACAGCACTGCATTGGACCCCAGAGGGCAAAAGAAAGAAGGGGAGGCCTAGAACATCATGGCGAAGGACAGTTAAAAGTGAGATGAAAGCAATGCACCAGACCTGGGGATCATTGACAAGGCTGACCCCGGATAGACAGGAGTGTAGGAAGTTTGTTGCTGCCCTACACACCACGGGGTGTAAAGGACTATGATATGATGATGATAATGATGAAATGGAAAACTCCAGGAAGTCACAAATTATGAACCATTTTCTCTTTTAGAAACATTTATCATGTTTATACTTGCTTCAAACCAAAAGTCCTTACCAGAATTTATACCAATTCTAATCATTAACTTTTCCTCTGGTATATGTTTGATTTTGAATTCTTGAACAGCTTTCAGGATGCTCAGTGACATATTGGCAATTTCCATAGCATGTCTTTGTCCATTTCTAACCGGAAGTCCTGATACAACCATATACGCATCCCCTATTGTTTCTACCTGATGATGAATGAATTAAGTCATTTTATTTATGCTTTCTGCCAAAAACACGCTTTTAATAAATTTTTCTACCACCGTTTTGATGAAAACAAGGTTAAAATAAGATTTTCAATAACAAAACGCACCTTATAGACGTCAAAATGGTTGATTATCGTGTCAAAACATGTGTATAAACCATTCAACATAGCCACAACCTGAAGAAATAAAAAGTTAATCTATATCTTTTCTGATAAGAATATCTTATTTGAAAATATTTTATTGTAATTAGTACATAAAATGGGATCGAAAAAAAGTTCTTTAGAAAACTACATTTTGTAAATTGAAATATACGGTCTTTAAATAATAAATTTAAAGTTATAATTAATTCACTCTTTCTTACATTCAGACAGAAGTCTAAAGCTTACTGTCATTTGAGGACTTGTAAAAAATGAAGTTGCATACTCTTTCTAGCCCTAGTGAACTAAGAGGTGACCGTGAGTATAATAATCATTCCTACCTCTAATGGTGTACTACGCGAGGCCAGGGTCGTGAACCCTACAATATCACTGAAGTAAATGGTCACCATTTCAAAAGTTTCTGGATCAACGCAGTTTCCAGACTCAAGTTGTTTGGCTACTGACCTAATAATAAATAAATTATATATAGGTTTATAAGCGTCAAGCGCAATGCAAAGCTAATTATATTTTACAGGAAAAGGATAAAGATTTACGGTCTAACAGTGTATCAAGAAGAAAGGGAGCAAGGAAAATGTAAAAGAGAGTCTATGTACAGTCAACATGCAAGTCCCACCAAATCGTAGGATAATAGGTATTGTATCGGGCAAGATAAAGAAGAAAATATAAGTTGTTGTTCTTCACTGGAACCTAAAATATTTCAATCCGTAAGTAAATATAATTCGTGTCCCCCAAACCTAAAAATTAACTTAAATAAGAGTAAAATTTTATTGTTTTTACTCTAATAATTAACTAGGTAAAGAAGAAAACTAAATCTGCACTGTGAATAACAATCAGACATGTAACAATACACTGGAATTTCAATTGCTAAATTATGCTTCAGATTAAGGAAAGGCTAATACAATCCTCTGGATTCTGCTCAAACTTACTGATAAATATGACTATCTATTGGCTATATACTGGTTTAATGAGAGATAATAATGTGTAAAAAAGGTTTTGAAAACTCACGGGGGTAACAGTCTACAAAGAAGATCCTCTGCTTTTCGTTTTTCTTCGATGTACGCCTTGGTTCTTTCTGTTACGATGCTCTCCAGATTATTGGCGTATTGTTCCATTCTTCTCATTAGGTTATCCATAATATTTCCTTTTTGATTTCTAGGGAAATGTTATGAAAGAAAACTTTTTACAAAACGGTATAATTTGCAAAAAAAATTATGTTAATTCTGCAAGAAATAGTTGAACAGACCAGAATTTCAGCAATAAGACATTTTACAATTTGAAATAACTTACACGTTCATTTTCTTCAGGGAATAAAAAATATCGTTTAAGTTAGGTCGATCATCAGGAGATTCTGACCAGCATTGCTGCAGTAACGACCTAATTTCGGGACTACAGTCCATTTCGGAAACATTTGGCCTAAAAGGTCCCAGAGTACCTGGTGCACCCATCACCTTCTCTATAATTTCTGTAGTCCATGAAAAGAATTTCAAATCGATAAAAAGCAGTGATAAATGAGGATGTCATTCGTTAAATCAAAGCCACTATAGTTCTGATGAAAATAAATCTACTAGGAAACCATGTTGTAGTTAAGCATATTGGAAAAGAACTAGGGAACACAAGAAAGAAAGACATGCAGATGCATCTAGATCTGTCTAAAAAGATACCTGATGATGTCAGGTCACTGCCTTCAAAAGGAGCACCCCGAACTACTATTTCTTGAAGCGTGATGCCAAAGCTGTATATATCTGCCTTTTGGTAGTTGATATCCTTAGTTTGATTGAAGAGTCGCCTCAGCAACTCTGGCGCAGTCCACAGAAGCTCTTTTTGAAAACAAAAAGACATTATTAGAGAATTAGTATAAACACACTTGGATTACAAGTTTAATTAATATTAATATACAGAAATACAGATTAAATATTCTGCAATGCATATTTTTGCTGTACTACTTGGCAAAATTTGTGAACATCGATAAACATCGGGACCGGGTGGTCTATGGACTTGTAACAGATATTTTCTTTCTTGAAAAGTGAAAGTCTAACTACATTATATATTTAAATAAATCTCTTGAATTGTCTGTAGAAGAAGAGACATGGTCTTATCTTAAGACACGGACTTTAAATTCAAATAATATAAAATTATCCCTTGATATTGCCTGTCGAATTATCAATTATTTATGTTTGCACCTTTATTTATAGAGTATTCATTGTAAAGAGACGGGCATATCTTAGGATAGTACTTTACTAGATGCCACTAGTTACTGTCTGAAGAATAATTAATTATTTACATATCCATTTTCATTTATAAAGCGTGAATGGTAAGAGTTGGACAGACATGAAGATTCTTTAAGTGCAGGCCTAATGATAACCAAATCTCAATGTCTTCATTTTATATCTAGGGATAATCTAAATCTTGGTCAAAGATATTCATTATTCCTTGAATGAAAAATAAAGAAAACGTACTTTAATCAAGCTCAAAAGTATATCAAATAACACAAATCAGGTACAGAGCAAACACAAACCTAGTGTTCCTTGCTATGATCGGGAGAAACGGTAAAAAATCGGGATTTTGTGTGTAATTTATAGTCTAACGATTAGTATAATCATATTAGTAACATCGAATTAATGGCAGATTGTATTTCCCAATACGTCATCATAAAGATTTTTTGTTAGGTTACCATTTACGTCTTCTTGTCGTAAAATGTCAAGAAATGAAACAATTATCGTACTCTGTGATATCTTTTATTTCAAATTAACTTGGAAACATCAAGTCGACATATGAACAGAAGGACAAATTCTTAATCAATAATATGTCGTCGATATATCTAAATGTCGACTTGAAGGCCACAGCAAGTGTTTTCTTCTCGTTTATATATCGTTTGAATAGATTTTACCTCATATGAATACAAAATTACATCTGCTTATAACTGGGTGAAATTGGTAACAATGGGAATTTTGACAGATTGTTGAAAACTTGGTTTCCAGGAACTGTATAGAAATTTTGTCAGTCAGAAACTAAACCATCTTTTGAATATCAACCCACAGGAGTTCGCGTACCTATCATGTACCGAAATTTTCATTTAATAAAAAAATACGTAATACGTATTATAATAATGTTATTATTATAGGTATTACGTATCTTTTTTATTTACCGAAAATTTCGGCAAAATTTTTAGGTACGCGAACTCCTGTGATCAACCTAAGAGTAAATAGATTTAAGATCGAGTTCCATTTTTATTTTTAAAAACAAAACAGCTGTCAATGATGTCAAAAGGACTGAACTTTTATTTATCGTGGAGAATGGTTGTATGAAGTGTTGGGAAGTCACACGATTGGATACATGTATTATATATTTTGATAAAATTTTCTATTTCAAATTTTCTACAATCCAAGAGTTCTTTGGATTTTAAAATATTCAAATCTGATTTACTCCAATTTTCCTTTACAGCTATTAATATTTTGGAGAGGATTAAAGAAAAAGGCTTGGTAGAAAAGTAAGAAAATTTACTAGAACCCGCCGTGTATCTATGCTTGCAAGTATTTTTATCCAGTTAAGGTATGGTTATTCTAATTCTTTTGATTGTTGGTAATATTGAAAATATACCGGTATAAAAAGGACATATGCCTTTTAAAGAACTTACTCCTTACAAAGGGAGCTATGTATACAAGTTGAATACCAACTTGCACAGTCGCCCGCTTGGTGCAGTGATTAGTGCGAGTACTCAAGATTCGCAAAGTAATTTAGGAGTTGATCCTGACGTCGCACACTGTAGGACGTGCAGACCAGTCCTTCGGATGAGACCTTATATCGCAGTAGGTGCTGGCATGAAAAAGATCCGTCACTGCTCAATGCGCCTGATTGCCGGGTATAGGACAAAATTTTCAGCTCTCCACCAGCCTGTGATGGGTCTCAGTATGAGTGAAAAATTCTCGAGAGGGTGTTTCACAATTAAGAAAAAATACCACTTGCAGAAGTCAATGCTAACTCCTCTAAAATACAATTAAACTATTGGGCCATACTAACAAAGACAATGTTGTTACCCACTTCAAATCGTCAGCTGGTACCAGTGCATTCTGATCGTAAAACCTATTTATATATTTTCCTTTTCATTTCTGAATAATTGAAGGAATAATGATAGATGTTTTTAATATTGACCCTAAATTGTTCCTTAATGAGAGATTTTAACATCCATCTAATACTCGTAACCTCTTCTTTACAAGACAAAGTTTTACTCCCGCGTCAGGAGAATAATTTCCCATGAAAACGGGTTGGAATAACGTTGGTAATTTTTTATGAAGGCTAATATGACATAAATCTTCAAGTTAATTCATAAGAAACATTATTTTTGTAGATTACCCAAATGACACATTGGAACATTATCTACTAATGTCTACGGAAATGAAACATGGCACAATTTAAGGATTTTATAGCTATAGATCTTTTAAATAGTGTTTAATGAATAAAAGGAATATTTTGGCACAGCACTAATATGCAACTTTTATCATTATATACCTTTTTTGTTTAAGCACATATCAATTAAAGCAAGACATTTCAACAAGATCTGCATCAAATGATACATTTAATACTTATGTATAATTATGTCAGAGTTACATCTAATTGATACTTACTATTCATGTTAAATGATGCCTTGTCCTGAAGTTGTTCACGTCTTTCCATATCATAAATAGAGTTCAGACCGAAGTCTGTCAGCTTCAACATAAACCTGCTGTCAATGACGCAGTTAGTCCCACTTAGGCGTCCATGGTAACGAATCGGGCTCGAGTGAATATACTCCAACCCCTATTGAAAATTTTGACAATATATATGCAGAGAATATGTACGTACTACGCTTCATTACAAGTGTGAAATAAATAAAGTCCTCAATCATAGAATGTAATTGTATTCAACAGTGTTCTACAAACTAGTTTTCGAAAGACACTATTCAAATGAATTATCAACCATAAACTCCAAGTTAACGTCAAAAATAACTTACTTTAAGGATGTCCCATATAATGGAGTATCGGAAAGACCAATCTAAGTCAATGTCATCGTTTTCTATGATATCCTATAAAAATGTATTTATTTAAATAAAATAGATTAACATACATCTTTTAAATGCTTTAGATAGTTTATATATGAAATCTCTGTATAATTTCATTTTGAATTTTACAAATTTCACTTAAAAACGTTTCATTCTAAGACATCCCCAACTGTTATTAGAAAATATTGAGCATGACCTCCAGAAAAGGTCACAATGTTTTACATCACTGACATGCTCAAATTTCAATTTAGACAACTCACGGGTATAACGTAATGTCCGGTATATATAAAATATCTCAATGCTGATAGAATTTTAATCAACAGAGTTATGTTAAGGACAGCATTGTGACAGACGGGTAAATAAGCCAGAACTAAGATGTCTAAGAAAAGGTATAATTAAATTTCAATTAAAAGCACTTTTTGATGAATATAATTCTAAGAATGAAATTAGCATTAAAACACATTGGTGTACATCAAATGGCAACAGATACATAAAATTCGATATTCATCACTTCTAAATCGAGAACTAAAATATATATGAGACATAACGAACAGGTCTTATTTACTTAATCGATAACGATATTGATAATGTTTACCTGTAAACTTCCTCTGGGGCAGTACTCCATCAAAATGTTGTTGTTACCGGGCTCAATCACAACTCCAATGAACCTCGCTATGTTAGGATGTTGTAAATGATATAACTGGAAAAGAAACTAATAATGTTAATAAATATCAGATAAATTATACAACTTCATTGTGACACTGACATACTTGAGATACACCGAGCAATGAGCTCTCAAAGTGAACACCCGCGCTTCCATACTAGTACCAGGCACACGACAATGCAATTGTTTTGCTGTTGAGTTGCAGCTAAAAAATGAGTACCGCAATACCTTAAGAAGTTTAAATACGTCAATGTTGAAAAAGTTATGATTTTTGATAAAAGGAAAAAAAACAATGACATTTATTGATCTTTTTGAATAAGCACAGGGAATTTCATATTCGGATTCTTCGACACAAGGATATAGGCTTGGATCTCTGATAATGATAACTGCCTACCAGAGGCATTTAAACTACAGAATATACGGAGGAGATGCTTAAACAGCCTCTTTGTGCCTTAAACTTCAATGTGCCAACAAAAGTTAATATAAGTTACAATGTACATGTATATTCTTAATAAAAAATTGAAAGGGTTCACTCTTGTAATCTATCATATTTCAAGTTTGATTCCACACCTTGTATTAACTGAAAAAATTTGCATGAGTCATGCAAAAATTCTACTTTTGTCAATTTTCCCGTGTTTCCGTCACGGTGTCAATTAAACGATATTCATTTTCATTCGTTTCATTTGATATATCAATATGAAATAAAAATGACAGATACAGCAGAGTCTGACACATCTAGTTCATATTTGGATGTTATACTAGAAAAAGAAGGTAAAAATTTACTTTAGGAAAAACGTTATTATTTAAACTTTATAATCGCCAATTTTCTTGATTAATGCTGCAACATACCATTATGGAGTTTTCTCTCCAAGTTTATTCAATATACTTTACAAGATTATGTTATACGGAAACAAGAGGCCCATGGGCCACATCGCTCACCTGAGCACATTGGCTAGTAAAAAACACAAATCAGCTCAGTATTGAAAAGTTTACTTGTTGAGGGAAAAAGGATTTGAATTTTTTTTACTTGAGAATGTCAATATATCAATAAAACATACATGTATAATTTTGCCATACTTGAGAAGAAGAGTTTCAAAGATTTGAACAAACTTGAATCTACACTACCTGAAGATGCTTTCACTTGAGTTTCACCTTTCCTGGCCCAATGGTTCTGGAGAAGAAGATTTTTAAAAGATACCATTAATTTTTCATTAATTCATCATTATCTCCCCTTGGAAAAGGGCTTGGCCCTTCATTTGAATAAACTTGAATCCCCTTCTCCCAAGGATACTTTGTGGCTTTTGTTTTTTAAAGTTTGGTTGAAGTTGGTCCAACGGATAGAAGATGAAAATGATAAAAGTTTACAACATCGACAATAACGACAACAACGACGACAACGAAAACAAAGACAGACAACGGACAAATTTTGATCAGAAAAGCTCACTTGAGCCTTCGTTTCAGGTGAGCTAAAATGTAGTTCGAGTCAGGCTTTAGACAAATAAGTTGATGATATAAGGATAAACATGTTAAAATTAATGGTCGATGCTATGACCTTGTAAGCAATACAATATTTAAAGTTCAATTTCGACAGACTTTTTCCAAACAAATTGATAGGCAATATTTTCATAATGAATTGTCGACGTTATTTTTGTTTGCCCAATCATGATAAGAAGCGAGTATAACCGGTCGACAGGAGATGTTTACTCCTCTATGTCACCTGATCCCATCTCTGATGTTTTTAGAGTCTTCGTCTTCTCTTCTCTCATTTTGATTTGTTACAATGGACTCAACAGTTTTATTAATGCGGTTAATTTGATACTGTATTGAGTGATTTGGTTGTTTAATTCCTGCATTCATAAAATACTAGTACATCGTCTTAAAATCTGATATAAAAAAAAATAGCAGGCAACACATTCTTTGTAAGATTGCAGTTTTGTCTGATTAAAAAGTGGGATGACCTAGCAGAAAAAAATAAATCTCATTTAGTATGTTTATTGAAAAAAGATAGTGTCGACGTGACTAGTTCATTACACCAACTCGTTAAAGAGCTGTCCATTTACGCCTTCGTCCTTTGATGTTGGAATTAAACTGACGTCATACACACCAGGGATAATGATTTGGTGATAAATAATGTTAACCATTTCTGAGTACTTTACAATGCAGCCGCGTAAATTCAACAAAACATCTCAAGTTTCAGATATATTAAAGCGATTCACTTTTACCTTACAAAACCACTGACATAAACCATTTATGTTCAACAATTAGAAATATTTAAGTGCAATTTGCAGGCATTGCAATTTTTATATTTTCATTAAAGGGGGTAAAAAAAAATAAAAGGTGTTCAAATAAATATCTTTAAATGATGTGCTTGTTTAAGGTAAAAATATCATTAGCTTACATTCAATCAATCAATAAAAAAAACACTAACATTTTCTGAAATAAAAAGCACCATTTTTTCTGCAACACCACTACATTAATTTGATCAATAACTTTATTCTATAATAACTTTGTTTTATATACAGCCCAATGCAATTTTTAAGCTCACGTGGTTTTTCGCACAAATTAAAGTCACATTTTTCTTGCAATAAAACTTAAAATTATCGAGTTTCAGTACAAGGCATAACACTTTTATTATTAATTATTTCATGTTTAAGGTGCATATTCTCTAATATCATTATATTAAGTTTTAAAAGTCAATGTTTTAAAAGGGAATTTGTTTATAAATTGTATGATGTTAAATATGTATAATTCTATCATAGGTATTTACAAATTAATTAATCGAGCTTTCTTTGATAATATTTATTTGAAATGTTCAAATTGACTTCTAACAGATTAGTACTTTTCTAAGTATGTTGCACATTTTCCGGACTTATCTTGGTTTTGTCGAAATGCAGCGCCAAAAAATGACAAAACTGCATAAAGAAATCAGTTCAAAGGATAGGATAATAAAGTGTTGTTTATCTTTCAACAAATTTAATGAAAAGAAAAGTCTTTTACATTCATGGTCTGAAACTTTGAAATTTAGCGCTGGAAGGTATCTTTCATGATGCTAGATTTCAGGAAGTTGACCTGAAAAATGACATCTTTTTAACATGGAAAACAGTCGAACTGACGAGAAATACTTCTACCATCTTGCGCCTTATTGTGATATTAATGTACAAAAAATACAGATGTTACATCAACTGCACTATTTATGTATTTAAGCACGGCAAAAGGGGGCTTTAAATTGAACGGATACAAAGATGGTTGCATTTGACGAGAAACCGTGAAAAATCAACTTGGAAACCCTCATAATATATCATCCAAAAGTAAATGAAAATCCTACCAATTATTATGCGTGAATTATGTTTAAAGTAATGGTATATGATCAAAATTAAGCTATAAATCATTTTTCAAATATATTTTCTTGTCACATTACATAATTTTGCATTATAGCAATGTGACCTTAATTTGTGCAAAAAACCATGCGAGTTTAAAAAGTGCATACCCGCGTTGAGCTGTATACAACTTCACCACTTTCCCAAATTAACGAAACCTTCTAAATGCCACAATGGAACTACAGCTGAACGCACTTTTTAAAGGCTTGGGGTAAAAAGCTGAGTGGAGTGGAGTGGAGTGGAGTCGTGGAGTCATGGAGTGGAGTCGTGGAGTGGAGTCTGTATTATAACAATACAGGAAGTTTGAGAACAAAACAATTTCTTTTGCATACAATATCTCCCCTTCATTGTCGTTTTGGATTTGTGTACACTGTACCAAGAATGGAACAAGAAACAAAAGAAGTCCATGCAATCAAAAACTAACGACCTTTAAATGTCAAACAGAGAATCACCTAGAAATGCTTTATATAAACACTATCTAAACTTAGCAAGACTGTTTGACCTTATTCGCCTATCCCAAAACGGCAAACCTAGCAAGAGGTGTTGACAGCTTTAATATCAAACAGAGAAAGAGCACTGCACTGCAGAACTGATGACAGCGAATTTAATGAGAAAGGCACATTTTTTTTTTCATTTTACTATTAAAGTGCAAGATAGCCCCTTTGTTGGAATTTGAAGGTCACATTTTTTTTTCTGTATCTCTATCTTCTTAACACGTATCTTCCTTTTCTGGTTAAAGTAGAGGACATGCTACAGAATAGAGTGTTAAGACTCGACTGATAGATACATATCAGCCATTGGATCTGTTGAAGTTTAATAATTGACCA